ATATTTTATATGTTTTATATGATTAGCAACAATATAGAACAAGTAAAGCCCTATTTAAAACATTGTCAAAAAAAGTTTAAGTTTTTACATAAACATACAGAAGGGGATTTTTTTTCAATTTGTCAAAATATTTAAATGATTTAAATATTAGTGCATCTGCTCTAATAGCTGGACCATCATCTCAAGTTGGAAAAAGTTCTTTGGTATCTGTTAGTTCTATAAGTTTGCCAACACCTTGTAAAAAGCAGTGGTTGATGTCATCATACACAATATCAACTAATATGGAACAGAAATGGAATATTGATATAAAAATAACAAAATTTTTCTTTAGTGCAAATATATCATTTAAAACTTCTGAAAATCAAAAATTTATAGACATGATCAATTCATTGAGACCAGGATATAATCCACCTAACAGTAAGGAGAGCTCTTAGAAAAAGTTTACGAGGAAGTAAACAAAAAAATGATGGATCAACTCAGAAGAGTAAACAATAACAATTATGCAAGACGGATGGAGTAGTGTTACTAATGATCCCATTATTGCTCATAGTGCATATGACGGCCTTAATTCTAAAATTTTATGCATTACTGATTGTGCATCAAATAAAAAAACAGACAAGTATTGTACCAATCTCCTTTGTAATGTCATTAAAGATCTTAAAGAAACATAAAACAAAGAAATATTCGCTGTGACAACAGATAATGAAAATTAGATGAAAAAAATGAGGGATTCAATCAAAGAAACGCATCCAAATCTTTTAAAATATGGGTTTTCTACACATTATTTAAATCTTTTAGAAAAAGAAGTAACACATCCAGATGTCATCAAACATGTGGTTGTAGTGCAGAAATATTTTCGCAATACACATCCACCACATGCAAACATCATTTTGTATTCATGGATTATAAACTTAAAGCATAAAAAATATGTAAAAGTTTAAAATTAACTATTCAATTTTTATTTTAAGGGATGGTTGCATGAGAAAGAAGGGCATATGCCTCAGTTACAAAACGATACCCGATGGAACTCCCAAATTGACTGTATAGAAACATACATAAAAAACTACCAAATAGTAGATAATCATGATACGCCTATCAAAATCAGAAAAATTATTGAAAATCAAGCAATATTTAGAGAAGCTAACAGTCTTCAAACCCAACTCAAAATATTTGGTGTTGTTTTAGATCAAGTAGTGGTGTAGTGGTAGAGCGCTTGCTTCATAAACGAGTGGTTCTGAGTTCGATTCCCACCACGTCCCTAGTAGTACCGCGCTCAACTCGTTTCTCCGTGCAGCTGCCTTGTTTGTCAAGGTTCGTGTTTCGGAGCAAATAAAAATAAATATATTATGTTGATTAAATAAATTAAAAATTATATTTTTTCTAGATGCAAAGTGACAGCTGTCACCTATCCGAATGTGTTGAGTTGTGGTTCTCACTTCTGAACAACCCTGAACTAAGTCATTACCACACAGCTATCAAAGAGATGTAATGATGCTATGACACCTATCCATTATTTTGCATACATGACCAATCCTCACTTTTTGGGTAAAAATAAGTTTTGCATTAAAAAAAAAAAAATTGTTTTCACCCACCTATAACCTAATTTGAACTTTTTTTTTTAATAGGCAAAACCTGCAGAGTGAAAATAAAGATGAAGCTGAAGAATGGCTTTACAACCATTATCCTGATTTTGTACCGTGGGTTGATTTTGCTTAAATTAAAGGATTGTGATGCATTTCCTAAAAGGATGTTGAGCGATCAAATTATATCAACAATATTGTGCAGTGATTGGTGGTCTATCATTAACCAGAGAAATGAAAAATCAATTTAGAAAAAATTGCTTGAAGGATTTTGCAAATTAATTTCTAAACTTCAAACGTGTCCTGCTAGCTCAGGATCAATAGAAAGAATATTTTCTTCATTTTTTAATTTTTAAAAGATTTAAATAATTTTTTAAATGCGGTAATGCTGTAGTGGTAAAACACTCGCTTCATAAGCGAGAGGTTCCAAGTTCGATCCCCACCACGTCCCTGGTAGTACCGGGCTCAACTTGTTTTTCCGCGCAGCGCCTTGTTCGTGTTTCGGAGTTATAGAGTTGAGAGAGGGTTATAACCACTATTAAGTAGCCTCCTTGTCTGTAGTGGTCTTCTCGGCCTTGAGGAGGTGAATAAAAATATAAAAAAAAATAAAAATTTGGTCAAAAGTTAGAAATAAATTAGGATGTTAAAAGGCTAAAAAGCTTGTGCAAATATATAGACAGTATCAAAAATAGATAGTTGTATTTATAAGAAGTATATCAAAAATGTAATTAGTCTTGTCAATGTATTTATTCTAAAAAATCTTACTGAATGGATCTAATTTGTTTGGTTTCGAAAATAAAATTGTGTTAAATAAAAATGTTGTGTTTAAATTGAAAATTTCTCTTTATAGCTAGCTCTATAAAATATTTATGTTTTTAGAAATGCTGGTTAATAATAGTATATATTAATAATATAATAGTTCATAAAATTATAGATATATTTCATAAAATCCCAGATTACCTGGGTTTTATGGTTTGTTTTAGGCGCGTTTTATTGGGCGGGTTTTTTAATGCCAACTCTGATCTCAAGTTTGTAATAATGTAATCAAATATTTTTATTTGTTTAATTTTAAAGGGTGTAAGTCTTTTTGCACCAATACGAAAGGAATAGAAATAAATTAGTACAGATATTCAATACCTGAGGGATTATAATTTAAATGTTTCTTTTATTTTAGGGCTTTTATAGCAATGACAGGGCCTTTAAAAATTTTTTAATTTAAGTTCTATTATACACACTTTTTATAAAAAAAATTTGAAAACAGCCTGAAGATTTAAGGCAAATTGAGTCTATTAAGGAAAATTAGAGTTTATTATTCGCTGCTTATTGTTTTACTAGATATTTTAAAAAGATCCTTAAAAAACTAACTTTATAGTTTTTTTGTGTTTAAAATATACCTATGCAAGGTTAGAATTTGTAGTTGCTAAACAAAACAGACGTTCTCAATTTTTGCCATACTTCAGCATCATAGTTCTAACGATGATGTTTTTTATAAGTTTACAACTTTTAAAGGTAAAACAGGGCTATAGTTAATTAGGTTTCTTTTGTGTAATATCTTTGTTTGTGGAATTCTATTAACTTAAATCAGATTTTGCTGGACCAACAAAATCAAACAATGCCTATATACTACTTTTTTATTTTTAATGATCAATGTTGTTAAAATTTTATCTTTCAAACATATTACACATTTACTTGTTTTTGCCATGTTTTTAATTTAAAATTTTTCATTTGTTTTTGCCAGTCAGCCGCAAGTTCTTATTTCCAGATTTAAGAAACCGTATAAAAAATGTTCCATTTTTTATAAAGTTTTGAATTTAAATTACTTTAAATCTCTGTGGGGAAGTCAATATTATTTTAAAGTTATACTTAGTTTGAATTAATGAATTAATAAAGTACATCATAGAAAATTTACCTTTAAACTAAATCAAAACAACCAGTTAAGTAAATCAAAACAACCAGTTAAATTTACCTTTAAACTAAATCAAAACAACCAGTTAAGTTACTACAGTAACTTACAGTTACTCAAATATCTAAATTTACTTATACTCAACTATTTAAATTTACTTATTTAAAATTTACAACTCAACTATTTAAATTTACTTATTACTTAATATATTCAAAGACTCACAAAAAATAGCCATATAAATGTTTCAATCTTGTATTTATATCTTATATCTTGTATTTTGTTTACACATAATATAAGCTTCTAACTAAAACTAAATTCTATTTGTTGTACAACGTTTCAGTTGTTAAAGAATGATACTATCTTAAAGACACAGAAAACAACATAATTTGTTATTAAATTAACATAATTTATTAAATTTTTCCTTGAAGCGAAGCTAATCTCAAAGTCTGCAATATGTCTCAAAGTCTGCAATGAAAGTTTTAAAGTCTGCAATGATTTTCCATAAGTATTTGGTGCATCACAAAACATCACACTGCAGTGTGATATTTTTTCAGACAAAAGGACTAGGCTTAGAGTAGTGTTAGCAACTAATTTCTATTATGTAGAAGATCAACCTTTAAAATTTTGGTAGAGCTGTCTATAAAGAGCTGCCAGTTTGTGAGTTTAAATAGCCATGCACTGTGTTATGGAGGTTATATCACCCCAAAAGCAAAAAACGTTCTAAAGAGTAAAAAAACTTAAGAAATGTTTATGTTATACTTTTTATAACTTATCAAAGATATTTCATGATCAGATGTAGATTTGCTGTTGACAATCACTTTCACTTAATATTTCTCTTAGACCAAAAATACTTCCACAGGCCACATGTACACATTAAAATACTCCCATAAGCCACATGTACACATGAAAATACTCCCACAAGCCAGATGTGTTTGTAACCCAAACTTCGCTTAATTTTTAAAGAAAAAATATTAAAATCTTATAACTATTTAATTTTGAAAAATTTGAAATATGTTTTTTCAATAGTTTTAAATTTATATTTAAAAAATGCATTTTTCAAATCTACCCACCCTAATAATAAAATTGGTTTAATGTTAACATTATGAAAATAGAAAAATGAATATATAAATATGACAGAAGAACTATTTTACAATTTCGCCAGAACAAAATGCTAAAATACTAAGACAACAACATGTTTTCATAATTTTAACAAATGTTAAAATTATGAAAACAGAAATATAACAGAAAAATTAATTCAGAATAAAAATAAATAAAAATAGTATTAAAAAAAAATTTCAAAAGAACAAATTGCTAAAATACTAAAACAACAACAGTAAAACAAAATAAAATAAAAATATGTGTAACATTTTTTATAATGATGAATAAAATGATAATGAAATGATGACATGAAAATGATGAATTAGAATAATTAATAGAATTAATTAAAATAATAATAATAAAATATAACAGAGAAATATGAAATAATTATCATGGTAACGATAACAACAGAAATTTACCTAGCTTTTAGATAAAATGATCGCTTTTTACTAACAATACTGAATTCACTTGTCATATCTTCAAATTCAGGGTATTGAACCTGTAGCAAAAATTAGATTTACAATAACACGATTTCTTTTTACAATTTTATAACATTATTAATAAAATAAAAATATTCAACTATTCATCATTTGTTTAATATTGTAAATTGGTACCTTTAATTAATGTACTTGTTTTAATAAAATGATCTATAAAATAATATATAAAATGGTTAATTAAACTTACAACCATTTCAGTTAAAGGAAGATCATGAATCAATTTAAGTTGTGTTTGACCAACAGAAGAGCAGTATAACAAAGTGTCAGTGAACTTAAAAAATTAAAAAAAAAACCAATAAAAAAACATTAAAAAACCTAAAATAACAATAAAAATAACAAATTGAAGAAATTAAAATAAAATAAAAAAAACTAGTAAAATGGCGTCAAATGAAATAGTCAAATAAAATAAAATAAAAGAACACTAGTAAAATGGAGTCAAATGAAATAGTAAAAAAAAAATTAAATAAAGTAATGAACACTAAACTTCTTTATATAAAAGCATATGATAATAGTTTAAAAAGTATAAGCAAAACTGTAAATAATTCTGGTGATGATGTTTGACACAAATGACACATTCAACTCATTATTACAAGCTAAAAAAATTAGCACAAATCAAACTTACTAAAATAAATATACGTTGTTGTAGTTCTTTTCTGCTCATCTTTTGTAAAGAACCTTCCTTTACTAGAAACTAAATATTTAATTAAATGATGAGTTTAAGTAGTTTAAATTCAAAACTCACATTAATTCACATTTGACAAAATAAATCATACTCTTCCTGGTTTGATGAGATCTTTATGATTGACAATCATAGATTGAATGCGTAAAACTTCTTGAAATTTTTCCTAAAGTAAAAACAAATAGATTTTGCATTAAAAAAACTTTTTTACGTTAATTGCAAGCTGAAAAGTGCTAAATTGATTGAAAAAATAAAATTCTTTTAAAAATAAAAGTCTAATTCTACATAAATAAAATTAAAAAAAAAAAAAGTTTTTCATTAAATATTTTGAAGAAACTTTAATCAAGATCTAAAATCATACATAAAAAATTGATCCTTCAAACTTTTATTTAAAAATAGACCCTTCATCAATCACTGGTCTATATATAGGTACACAAACAAGTGTTCAAAGCTCTATTTATTTATTTAAAAATGGAGCTATCATCAATCATTGGTAAGTACTTGTTTAGCAAAAATAAAATTTAGCAGATTGCAATAAAATTAAAGAGTTAATAACTGTTATACACTGTAAAATGAATCGGTTTTATAGTGGTTTTTTGAAAAACCCGTTGGTTTTTCAAAAAACGATAACGCAGTTTTCGGTTTTTTAAAAATCCAATTGGTTTTATACTTTAACGCTCAAAGTATTACGGTTTTTCAAAAAACCAAACGTATACCAAACTATATGAGTTTTGAAAATTTTACGAAAATGTTTGCAATCGCTGTTAACATTTTGCCAGTAAGTTTGGGTAAAAAATTTATGCCATAACCTATATTTTTTAACTGTAAATTTTGTATAAAAAAAGAAAAATACTTACTGAAAAAACACAATAATTATTATAATTATTATATAACACTTTGAAATTTAAAAAAAAAATGTTTTTTAGGAACAACTTGAAACTTGGTCATCTTTGGATGTTGCTCAATGGTTAATAAATTGTAACTTAGAGTCATGTGTTGACAAATTCAATGGTAGTTTTAGAAACATTTAAAATTTAACTAAAATGACAACTTTTTTCTACTGTTCAATGTGTTCAACACCAGTACTAAATATTTTAAAGCTATACAGGCATTACAGTAATTACCATTTACATGATTTTAATTTAAAGACAAACTGCTGTTATTCAACTTGTAATAAAAGTTTTAAAAAGCTTCACAGTTTTCAACAGCATGTGAGGAGAACGCATGGAACTGATAATGACCCAAAACCAACACTTAGCACATTAGTTATAATGGATGATTTATAAGTTCCGTTATCAGAAAATTTAATCCAGGACACCGATTTTTCAGGTCTTTTTTTACAGATAATGTCTTAATTGAATATGTCTTTAGGTCATATGTTTCTAAAATTAAGGGAAAAACATGTAGTTGCAAGCCAAGTTCATGTTGACTTAGCAAGTGATATAAGGGAAGTGTTTACTGTTTTCTTTTTGTCATATAATAGTTTGATAAAGCAGTTTATTCAACAAAAT